TAAAGATCCCATGAGCTTAGCCTTGTTAAACAGAGGTGGCAGCAGAAGTGAAGAGTTCAGCAAGAGAGAAGAATCTAGCCTGGCAATGTTTTTTAGGAATGGGAGCCATGGAATATTATAAGAAAATCGTAAAGACTCACCATGACATTAATTTTTATCTTGTTGACAGAGGCACCACGTTGATAAAGGGATTTTATTAGTTAGTTTCACTCAGATCATTTTCTGGCTTCTCTGCTCTTATTCCACAGAAAACCTACATCTGCTAAAGAAATGCATATATGTGGAAACAGTTGCCTACATGTCATCTTTTCCTTTCTCACAAGCCCCTGGAGGGCTTATTTCCTCCATGGCCTGCTTCTAAACTAGATAACTCTTGAGACTATTTTTCACATGTGTGAATCTCCAAAGTAGTACAGTGGGAGGGCCTTGAGATGTCTGTTAGCTAAGAACTGCCTGCTAACAAGATCTCAGCCTCTTAAATGTGATGTTATAGTTTTCTCACAAAGGTGTCAGAAGTTTCTCAGTCCTAAATCACTTATCAGCAGAAATGCCTTTACAACCTAAAAGAGTAAGGCAGGAACTTCAGGAATACTTCCATACAGCTACTGCTCTTTACAAATAAAATGAAAAAGCCTTAAACAAAGGTCAAGTTCATTTTGTGCCTATATTGTACTCTGAAACATTCCTACTCTTCTATAGTGGCCTTTAATCTTTAAAGGATAATGTCTTTGATACAGCAGAAACTGTTGATGTCAAGTAGAACACAATGTCCTTGAAATTGTGCCCAAAATACCTAAGTCCCTTTGAGAAACCACAACTGCAATCTACTAATGTTAATAATAACAGGAGACAGTTGCCTGATGACGACAGTTTATAGCTCCAAGGTTACTCTTTATTGTTGGTCATATAAGATAAGCCAAGTTTATAGTAAGCAAGTAACATGTACTGATTAGCATGTTAGTTTTCATCTCTCTCTATTTTTATGTTTTAGTTAAACAAAAGGAAGTGAGTGTTATTAAAGAGTATCATAGGCCACCGAGGAAAGCTGCCAACAATTTTTCTTTAATCGCCTTGAACATAAACAGATATGTTCTGGAATGGTTTAGGAACATGTCTGTCCAACCCATATGAATTCCTTCTAGTTCCACTGTTTTGTGACAAACCTATATGAGAAATCTTTTAGTGGTTTATTTTCTATAGTTCTTAATAATGTTTTAAATAATAATCTAAAAAGAGATCCATTAAATAGAATGGCAGTATTGTGTTGTATTAATAATTAATAAAATAATTTCCTTCCTTTTTCCAAATTCAGGTAGCCAAGCTCTCTTCAAACATACACACTTCTACTCTACCTTGAAAAAGCCATCATAATCAACGAAGAAGAAATCTATACCATTGGAATGTGCTGGTCTCCCAAGTCTTCACCTAGTTCCCAGTCTTTGCAAGACCCTCCCTTCTCCCACCTACTGACTCCCCCAGGGCCCAATCCCCAGCCTTTTCCTTTTCCTCTGCCCAGCCATTTCCCCAGGGAACTCATCCACTATCTGGGTTTGTTATTAAAATATTTATACACTGTTATGGTTTGCATTTTTCATGTCCCTGCTCCCTCTATGTTTATGAGTACTATCCAATTGCTATCTACAACCTCTCCCTCAACTTCAAGCACTAGCAGCACATTCCTGAATGTTTGTTCATGCCCTGGTATTGCATCTTATTCTCAGCCCCTCTTCTTAGGACTTGCACAGCTATCAGCTTGAGGCGTGCTGTCCCGTCTTTGGGAAAAAGAACTATTGAACTCAGGTATAAATGATGACACATCATCAAGAATGAAAGGTTTTACGTAAATTGTTATGCCATCTTTCCCAAAGGATTCTCATTAGATACAGAAATTATAAACAAAGCAATTATGATAGAAATAATATGAGTTCTTCTGGAGACTGTTGAGTAAGTAAAGATAATTGACAGGGCATTTTTAACAGCTTTAAGATATCATTCACATGCTCTATAGTTCATCCATTTAAAGTGTACAATTCAATGGTTTGGGGTATATTCACAGAGTTGTGCAACTATCACATCTAATTTTATAACATTTTATCACCCCAGGAAGAAACCCTTACTCATTAATAGTCACTCTCCATTCTCTCTGCCCCATATGAAGAACTGCCAAACTATTTTTCAAAGCAGCTGCACCTTTTTACATTACCACCAGCAGTGTGTAAGGGTTTTAAATCTCCACATCCTCA